CTATGAAACAACTGGTTGGTTTAAGATTGGGTGACATGGTTACTATTGTCACCTTATTTATTTAACTTATGTGCTGAGTACATCATGAGAAATGCCAGGATAAATGAATCTAAAGCCAGAATTAAAGTTGACCTTCTATCCTCCATTATCTCCCAAAGTCTGTCCAAGCTCATGTTCATTGCTTCCATGATACTGTCTATCCATCTCATCCTCTGCCATCCTCTCCTCCATTTGCCTTCAATCTTTCCAAATATCAGGGTCTTTTCCAGTGAGTCCCATCTTCTCATTATGTGGCCAAAGTATTAAGCTTCAGCTTCAGTATTTGACCTTCCATGAATAGCCTAAATTAACTTCTTTAAGTAGTGATTGATTTGATCTCCTTGCTGTACAAGTGACTCTCAAAAGTCTTCTCCTTCACTATAATTCAAAAGCATCAATTCTGCAGTGCTCAGCTTTCCATATAGTCCAACTCTTACCACCAATACATTGTTACTGGAAAAATCATAGCTTTGACTACATAGATCTTTGTCTACAACGTCATGTCTCTGGTTTTTAGTATGCTGTCCAGATTTGCCATAGCTTTCCTTCCAAAGAGCAAGTGTCTTTTAATCACCATCTATAGTGATCTTGGATACCAAGAATATAAAATCTGACACTGCTTCCCCATTTCTTCTCTCTATTTTTTTTTTTGGTGAGGCAATTGGGGTTAAGTGACTTGCCCAGGATCACACAGCTAGTAAGTGTCAAGTGTCTGGTCTAAGATCACATTTGAACTGAGGTCCTTCTGACTCCAGGGCTGGTGCTCTATCCACTGTGCCACCTAGCTGCCCCATTCTTCTCTCTATTTTCCAGAAAGTCATGGGACTAGCTACCATGATCTTAGTTTGTTGTTGTTGTTGTTGTTGTTGTTTTATGTTACTTCAAGCCCCCTATTACACTCTCTTCTTTCACCCTCATCAAGAGGCTTCTTAATTTTTCTTTACTTTCTTCCATCAGAGTGGTATTATCAGTGTATCTGAGATTATTGATATATCTCCCAGCAACTTCCATTCTGGCTTTTGATTCATCCAGCTTGGCATTTCATATGATGTACTCTACATACAAATTCAATAATTAAGGTAACAATATATAGCCTTACAACCTCTCTTTAAGGAGAATACCTTAGGGGAGAATGATGGGGTTGATGGGTGATGGGACCTGGACCCTAAAGAAAAAAACCGTGTCCTTGTAAGCAGCCCAGTGCCAGAATTTTCCCATACATTTCAGCAGCCCAAATTACTGGTGCCCTAGGCAACTAGCCCACCTCAGCCCACCTAAATCACCTAATTAGCTTACTTCACATTCCTTTCACTGTTGCTTTTGGCCCATCCCAGACTAGTCTGCATATACCCACCACTCCTTAATTCCATCTTGATCATCTAATTAGCCTACTTGATATCATTTCACTGCTTGCACCTGGCCAATCCCAGACTACTTACCACTCCTTAATGCCATCCAGATCTGGTCCTTTTTTGTATATAAGCATCTGTCTCACTCCCATTAAGTTGCAGATTCACTAAGAACTCTGCCCACTTTCTATTGGCATTACAATAAATTTTGCCATTGACTGGAAAAAAAAATTTAAAGATAAAGAAAATACCTTTCATAACCAGTGGCTCAAAGCTCATTTGCATTAAGACCCTCTTCATTGATGGAGATCAATTATTCACTGCTCTATGCCTGTGTTGGGGGCAGACATGTTAAGAGCTTGAGAAAAAAGAGAGATACTTACTGGTCTTCTGGCTTCCACCTTCAAGAGAGAAAACTCATAACCAGTCTCTATGAATGAAAAGAGTCTTATGCAAATAGAATAGGGATGGGAGAGGGTATTATACTTGAAAGGTTACAAAACAGTAATGCTACTGCATGAAAAGTAATATGTTTGCCTTAGGAAAACAGAACAAATTCTTCCTCTCTGCGCCTCTCTTTTTTTTTTATCTCTTCTCACTACCTGTTTTTGTATCTCTCCCTCTTTTTTCCCCTTCCTTATATTCCTTTCCTTCCCCTCTGCCTGCTATCTGGCCATCATATAGAAATTTTACACATATCTTTAGTATTTTATTCTCTATTCTTAGTTTCATAAGTGAGTGAGTTAAATGTCTAATTTCCCCTTTCCAAAACCAAAGGGAATTTTTTTTTTACTTATGTGATCCTCAACTTACTTTCATTCTTTTAGTCAGTAGATTTGAACAGAAATAGCTTTGCAACCCCTCTTGTCTAATGAAACATAAGTTTGGTAATGAGGGATGGGGGTTCTAGTCCTGGTTCTACCAATAATTGGTAAAGAAATACCAAAAAAATCACTTTCTCCTACATATGAAAAAGGAATATAATCTGTGCTGATACGTACCCAGCTAATATTTTGAGAATAAAGATAAGTCCTTTAAAAAAGAAATCTACCAAATAATAAAACATATCATTATTATTGTCAATATCATTTTTTTCTGAAACTACTACCTTTAAATATGTGTTTTTATGTGAAGCTGTCTACATTTCCATGAAAACTCTCCCACAGTAAAGAACATTTCCAATCTTTGTATGAGGATACTGATAAAAATCTCAAGTTTTTAATTTGTGACTTTTTCAAAAGCAAACAGCCTGCATCTAAATGGACACAGTACCAGACAGTTTGTGACCAAGTGCTAAATGCTCCTACAGACTGAAAATATCCTGGGAAACCAGGAAAGGGATATAGCTCAAAGATAGGACTATCTGATCCGCCCTGACCAGATCAGAACTTTATGAAAAAAAAAATAAGCCTAGCTTCAAGCTTGTTATTACATGCAAGGTGAGACACTTAGTAGCCTTACATAAAATAGGAAATAGAGAGGAAGGAGGTATAGGCACTTGGCCGTAGGAAGGCCTGATACAGAGTGTCCCAAAAATCTCACCAAAGTTTTAAGCCATTAAAACTTAAAAGTGCACTAAGACTTTGGGGACACTTTCTACAGATCCATGAAATCCAGGTGAAGCATTGTTGAGTAGTGATGCCTTCCTCATTCCATATTCAAAAAGAAAAAGTTGTACAATAAATTAATTTATGTGACCATTACAAAATCTATATTTAAAATTTTTTAATATAAGTTCAATGGATCTATAGGGCAACCAGGGCTGATCCCAGGCCACTGAATTTAGAGTATACTAACAATATTTGCAGTCAACAATGCTTGCAGTCCTTCAGCAGTATAGAAACGCCAGAGCACACCACACAGCCAGAATAATTAGCTAAATTGGAAGCTTAAAAACTATACTACAAGAGGAAACTACCAGGTGGTAGATTGTCCTTCTGCCCTGTTTTTCTCTCTCCACCACCACCACATGGCATTCTTCCCAGTAGCATCACAAGCCAACATACCAGAATCTCTCCTCCTTCAGAACAGTATTTCCCTGCTCTAATAAGGGCATGCATCATCCCACTTATCCCTGGCATAGCTTGTAGGTTGACCCAGGCACAAAATTTCTCTTTATATTTCTGAAGGTCAATTTTATCCTGTCCATAAACTTTTAGCTAGGCTTTCCAAATCCAACCTACAAAAGAAAGCGGGCAGCCAGATGGCATGGTGGATAGGTCACTGGGCCTGGAGAGAGGAAGACTCATCTTACTAAGTTCAAATCTGGCCTCAGGCACTTACTAGTTGTGTGACCCTGGCTAAGTCACTTAACCCTATTAGTCTGTTTCCTAATCGGTAAAATAAGCTAGAGAAGAAAATGAGAGACCACTGTAATAACTCTGCTAAGAAAACCCTAAATGGGGTCAACAAAGTGTCAGACACAACTAATAACAATAAAAAGCCTTCTTTAAAAATAATATATATATTCCCCAATTGATAAATGGTCAAAGGATATGAACAGCAGTTCTCAGATGAAGAAATTATAGCCATCTATAGCCATATGAAAAAATGTTCTAAATCACTATTGATTAGAGAAATGCAAATCAAAACAACTCTGAGGTACTACATCACACCTATCAGATTGGCCAACATGACAAAACAAGAAAATGGTAAATGTTGGAGAAGATGTGGTAAAATTGGAACATTAATGCATTGTTGGTGCAGTTGTGAAATGATCCAACCATTTTGGAGAGCAATTTGGAACTAGGCCCAAAGAGCTATAAAAATGTGCATACCCTTTGACCCAGCAATAGCACTTCTTGGTCTGTATCCCAAAGAGGACATACGAATGGAAAAAGGACCCACATGTGCAAAAGTATTTATAGCAGCTCTTTTTTGTGGTGGCAAAGAATTGGAAATTGAGAGGATACCCATCAATTGGGGAATGGCTGAGCAAGTTGTGGTATATGAATGTAATGGAATACTATTGTGCTGTAAGACATGATGAACAGGCTGACTTCAGAAAAACCTGGAAAGATTTGCATGGTCTGATGCTGAGTGAAGTGAGCAGAACCAGGAGAACATTGTAACAGTAACAGCCATGTTGTGTAATAACTAATATTAATAGACGTAACCCTTCTCAGCAATACAAGGATGTAAGACATCTCCAAAGGCCTCATGATGGAAAATGCTATCTATATCCAAAGAAAGAACTACGGAGTTTGAATGCAGATCAAAGCATACTGTTTGCTATTTTTTTTTCTTCTGTTGTGTTTTGTTCCCCTTTCTGGTGGTTCCTCCTATTGGTTCTAATTCTTCCTTATAACATCACTAATGTGAAAATGTTTAATAGGAATGTATATGTATAGCCTATATCAGATTGTGCACCATCTTGGGGAGGGAGGTAGAAAGGGAGGGGGAGAAGAATTTAAAATTCAAAAGCTTATGGAAGTGATTGCTGATAAATCAAAATAAGTTAATTAATAATAATAATATTTATAACTATTACATTAAGAATGAAAAGGGGAACATGGAATATCATGGAATTATAATGACCAAGAAGCTTGGCCCTAAGATAAGAGTTGGAAAAATAGATTTCCCTCTTTTCTTAGCAGAGGTAGGAGTCCCTGGGTATAGACTTTATTGCGTATAACATCAGATTCCGTTGGTGTTGGTTTTGCCAAACTGCCTTTTTCCTCTTTCTTTTCAAATTCTTTGTTCCAAGGTATAGTTCACTGGATAAAAAAAAAAAAGGATATATTTAGAAATGAGGCTGATGTAAAATCAAGTATCTTTTTTTGTCATTTAAAATATAAAAATTAAGAGGAAACCTTAAGATTATAAAACTAGAGATTAGGACTAAAAGTGACTTTAGAAGCCATCAAGTTCAATCCCCCATCTTATTTTACAGAAGAAGAAACTGAGATCTACAGAGGTTAAGTGATTTGCCTAGGGTCACCTGACTTAATCAGAATAAGGATCCTTTAACCTTTCATACATGATGCTAGGTATTTCCCTTCCTTTGAGATTCATGTCATGTTATACAAAAGTATAAAAATCAAACAAAATATTACACCAGAAAAAAAGAGAAATTAAAAATCTAAACCATAAAACTAACTCCAAAGACAATGAAGGGCTCCAAAATGAATCTTAAATACAATTATCAACATTGGCACTCTTGTTAACATGGTCTCTTATCAAGTAATGAATAACGGCAGGGTATGGTTACACACACAATCATTTACAATTACTTTTTAGGATGCATTGCTTAACCGCTTGGGGAGCTGAGGGATTTGGTTGTGTGTTTTGCTATTTACTCTATTCTTAGTTTATGTGTGTGTGTGTGTGTGTGTGTGTGTGTGAAAATATATTTATATAATGTTCAGAATGAAAGCAATAAACAGATTTTTAATATTTGTATATGTGCCTGTACTTACTATGGGCTAAACTTTAAACAGGAAACTTTTTTGCTATCTGGTACATAGAAATAAGAAGTGTTAAAATTAATTTTTAAATTCAGCTAAATACAAATTAATTCATGTTAATCCAGATAGTCTCTCTCTTATCATTTCCCTTTACTCACTCATAAGACCCAGGATGTATCTGAACCCAAAAGCCAAGAGCTACACAACTACTTGTGAAGAACATTACAGAAAGAAAGAGACATATTTTAGATTAGGAAAGAGTGCAAAGGAAAGGATAGGAAGAAGGCTACCTGAGCAAACAAAAATTATTTTATCTAACTGAATTCTAAGACTTAAAAATAAGCTTAAATATACAAATGAAAATTTAAAATTCCTCTTGAACAATAGCTTTAAAAAAGAACTGGAAAAGAAGCCATTTGTTTCTCATAGCCAAGGTGCTGAATAAAGCATTGACCTTAAATTTCTCCATAGGAGCAGCTAGGTGGTGTAGTAGATAGAGCACCAGCCCTGGAATCAGGAGATACTGAGTTCAAATCCGGCCTCAGACACTTACTAGCAGTGTGACCCTAGGTAAGTCACTTAACCCTAATTTTCTCCAAAAATAAATTTCTCTACAGCCTCTAATACTGTTTATCAAAACATGACAATGATATTATTGCTTGAATAAATGTGTTTAATATTTAGGTTCCCAGAACAGGGATAACCAAAGCACCAGGAACTTTTTTTCTTGGATAGCGGATATAAAAATTGGCAGCATGACAGTAGATGGAGAGCCCACCTAGGCACTAGGAAGACATGCACTCAAGTCTTGCCTTTGATGTATCTTGGCTATGTGACCCTGGGGTAAGTCACTTAATCTCTCCATTTTTAGGCAATTCTCTGAGATTAGAAGTGTCAAGGTAGATGGTGATCTGCATTACTTATGTAGTCAAAATCTTGAGTATTGTTCATCATCAGAGAATAGCTCCATCTGAGTATAAAGCATTCCTAGATGGAATATCTGCATAAGTACAGGGAGTTTTCCTGATCAGAGATTTCCTTAAACCAGTGAAATCACACATTCAGTCCCTATCCCTTTCCACCATCAGGCATTTGAAAGGTTATCATACGGAATTGGAATTAAATGTTTTCTGTTTTGCCCCAGAAGGAAAAACTGGGTGTAATGAGTGAAAGATACAAAAAACATACACACACATTTAGTCTTGGTATAAGACAAAATGCCTAACAATGAGTTTTGCCCAAAAGTAGAGTGGGAATATGCTGCTTCTGGAGGTAGAGAGTTCCTCCTTATGGTAGCGCTCTCTCCTACCTTCAATCCAGTCAAATTGGATCTCTTCTACCTGTTTTGGGGACCAGTCATTCCATCTCTGCCTTTGTGTTTTTTTTGCTTAAGTGGCTAGGCCATCAGATCTCATCTCTACCTCTTAAATTCCTTCACAACACCCCTTAGGTGCTACCTACTAAAAGGGGCCTTTACTGAGCCTCTGATTGAAATTATTCTCTCTTCCACATGAAATTACTTTCTATATTTTATATACAGCAGTTTATATTTACTTCTATGGGTTCATTGTTTTCTGTAGTGGCAAGTACAGTCCTTGAAAGCAGGAACTGTTTTTTATCTGTCTCACCAATACACAGTGCCTGGTATACAGTAGACAGTTAAATGTGTTGAATTCAATTCTGGTTCACTTTAGCAATCAGACTCTAGCTATGTTACCCTGGGCAAGTCATTTAACATTGCTCAGCCTCAGTTTCTTTACCTGTAAAATAAGGATAAAAATAACACCTGCCTCATAGGGTTGTTATGCAATTCAAGAGATATTTAAATCATTTTACAAACCTATATAGTATTATATTTTATAATATATAGTATTAGTTATTATAATTATTTGGGGACTAGATGGAAAATGTATACTGAGGATTATCAAAATTTCCATTTCCAGTGTTATTTAATTGATAAAGTATCAAATTAAGAAGATGCACAAGCCAGTAGAGAGAGAGCCAGCCTCTTATTAAAGAAGACCTGGGTTCATTCCCTGCCTCTAACACTTCCTGACTGTGAGACCCAGGACAAGTCATTTAACCTCCCAATTTCTCCACACAATTCTTTCAAACTATAAATTGCAGTGAAGCTGATAACCTGCATTACTTATACAGTCAAAATATTGACTACTGCTCTTATGAATCCAAGCACAAGACATTCCCTTATAGCAGTGTTTACCCTTCAAGCACCATAACAAAGGGCTATATATACCTGGTTGTTTTTCCTACCCTCCATCAGAATTCTTCTATTTTTTTCACCATTGGTTTTCTTATCAGATTATGACATTTCTTTTGAAATTAATAATAATTCAGATTATAAAGTCCTAACAGAAGAAACTCTGCACTGATACACTCCATTTCCTCAGCCCTTGCTCAGGCCAGACAGCATTTCCTGGTCTGATGCAAAGCACCCACCTAAAATGGGTTGCCTGTTCAACATTGTTCTTGCGATTTTCATCGGAAACCCCAGTTTCTAATCCCAGTTCTGCACTAAAGATTTGTGTACATGCCTTGTATCCCCAAGAGGAATAAATTTTTCTCAAGGGGAAATACTGAATTTTATTTTTATCTTTGTCTCCCTGTTGCATTAGCCTCCTCATGTGCTGCAAACTATTTGAAGGTCCAGAAAAGAAATAAAAGATGATGTAATCTCAAAGAATGACACTCTCCCTTTCTATTTATATCATTAAGAGATACTACATGATGTAGCAGAAAGTTTACTGGGCTAGGAGTTAGCTGACTTAAATTGGATTCCTGGTTCTGGCCAATTACTAGCTATGTAACCTTAGGCAGACCACTTGTCCTCTCCATCATCAGTTTCCTCATCTATAAAAAAGGGATAATAATACCTTCACTTCCTGATTAACAAAGTTGTAAGCCAAATGGGTTAACTATGACAAATGTTTAATGCCAGTCAGGCTTCACTCTGCTTGTTTCTATTCTGCCTCTTCCAAATATCAGTTGGTGTATGTTTGTGGAATGTTAATTAACTTCAATAGTAGCCTAAGCAAAACATAATAAGGAAGGTGAATTTCCTGTCAAAGAACATTTTATTATTCATTCCAAAGCTAAACCCAAATTATTTTTGGATTGCTCGTGTGATCTCTCTCTCATATTAGTGTAGTTGAAACTTCATCTAAGCTCTTTGAAGGCAGATAAAAAGTTATGTTTAAGGCCTGTGTAATATCTTGCATATTATTAATGATCATTTAAGAATTATCCAATCATAATTTGCTTTAAAACATTTCCTTACATAGTAGTCTATTTTCAATTATTCTATAAGTAACTGAATGTCATATGTGTAAAATAGTGTTGAAGGATAGAAAGAGAGAGGTGAGGAAGGGAGAGAAGGGAGAAGGGAGAAGAAGAAGAAGAAGAAGAAGAAGAAGAAGAAGAAGAAGAAGAAGAAGAAGAAGAAGAAGAAGAAGAAGAGAAGAGGAGGAGGAGAGAGGAGGAGGAGGAGGAGGAGAGAAGAAGGAGGAGGAGGAGGAGAGGAGGAGGAGGAGAAGAAAGAGGAGGAAAAGAAGAAGGAGGAAAAGAAGGAGGAGGAGGAGAGAATGGGGAAAAGGAAAAGTGAAGAGTATGTAGCAAGGTATTCATTGAAATTCAAGACAGTTTGTATCACTTTCCCCTTAGTTGCTATTTTGTGTTTGATACAACAATCCTACTAATGCTCCCAAAGTACTGACGTAAATTTCATTTGCCTGGCTTGCATCCAGAGGTAGACGTAGGTGAAGAGAAATGTGAGATGTATGAGCACAAGACCTTTTAAAGGTGAATGAGGAGAGAGAGGGCATGGCAATCAGAATAGAAACAACTTTTCCCGGCTCTCCGGTCACATATTTGTGCAAACAAAGAAGACTTTGCTATGTAGCCATAGCCAAGCTACATGCCCTTTGGGGCACTAGGCAGATCCAAACAAGGATAGTGAATACAGTGAGACAGTCCAATGAGGAGACAACCATTAGGAACCATATCCCTAGCAAAATGGGACTGGAGTCACTTGAAGCCAAGATAGATTGGGATCACTTCAAGAAGAGTTTTTGGGTCAAGGTGAAATGATAACCAGGTCATGTATATGTTGTGCCTTTTGGAGGGAGGGGCAAATGTGTCTCCCAAATGCTGCCTAAACTCCCCCTCACCTTCATCCATGCTTGTGAGTTAGATAAAACCAGTTGGCACTGATTGGTAGATAAAAATGTATGGTCTGTGTGAACAGGTAAATGAGAATTAGTGCTACCTCTAATCACTCCTTCTGTTTTACTATC